TTAATATTAACATCTTTCTGGTACATCCCATCTCTTTCCCTTGACAACGTCTGATAAAATGGTTATAGGAGAGGATTGCTGAGAATATTATTTTCACTCAGGCCTCGTAACTATGACAAATCTGGGAGATTTTAAATGAGAGACATATGGACAATATAATTGAAAAGATAACATGAATTTGATTCAACAAGTATAATGACACATTACAGCAATGCCTTTTTTCTCTACAGTTGATCTGAGTAATGTGATGTTAATTCTAGCGCTAGTCTGTTTTCGGTCTTGGTCTTGGTCTCGACCAGTCTTGGTCTCGCCTTAGTGTGTCTTGGTCTTGGACTTGGTCTTGGTACCCTCAAGTCTCGGCAGTGTCTTGGTCTTGATACCCTCCGGTCTCGGCAATGTCTTGGTCTCGGTTTAGGCGGTCTTTACTACTACACTACAAAGTAGTGCCATTATAAATAACTGTAAAGATGTTCTTTTCTAGAAATCACAGACTTGGAATGACCAATTTTTCTTGCAGTGGATGAAAGGGTATCTTTTTGGCCTTCATCTGGACAACCTGCTGTCATAGGGTTTTGGTCACCTTAGAGCAGTTCATCATCTTGCAGAGTAATTAGGAGTGCTGCCAGTTAAATAGGGTTTGTCAGGTAATTAAGGAAATTAGTACCAGGTGCCAGATCAGCGACAATAACTGGAAGGTATCTGAGAGTGTTCTCTAATTTTGATCAGCGTTCTTCTTCAAATTTCTCATTTAAGTGTTTTTATATTGTATGAATCATTAAAAGTGCATATCTTCTGCTGCTGTTATTTATTGCTTTGAATTCTTTTTTTAAATTATCATGTTCTCTCTTGTGTGGTAGTCAAGAGCAATTGTATCCTAATGTTTATTGTTGCATTTAGAGGGAGGTTAAATGTTCTAACATTTCTTTAATTCATGGCGGTGTCAGTAATCTCGTGTTAACTGAGGACCTAAATAATTTTAATGACTCAATCACAAATAAACTCAAATATGAATAACATGCCAAAAGGTTGTCTGTGCCCTTTCCTCGAAGTTGTCCTTGCATATAGTCGTCACCATGGTTGCTCAAATCTCACTGTACGTAAAGATTACAAAAATTAAAAAAACCCTCCGATTTCTGAAAAACAGCCCGGACAGATGAAAAAAAAAACAGTAAAATGTCCGGGAAAGTTTTGGTAACTCTAAGCATTAAAAGAAACGAATTTATAATTAATATGCTTGTTCCTGCTTATTATGTTATGTGTCGATAACTTTATAAAGTATTTAAGCGTGATCTTTTAACATTCCCTAAATCTATAGTAATGAAATGGGGGTCAGTCCGTTAAAATGCTTTCATTTTACTGAGGTGCTGATCATTTTTCAAACGCCTAACCATTTTCATTTCTTTTTATTTTTTATTTGCGCTTTTGCAATAGCCTACAGAATAATGATACAACAATATACAATAATAAATATCATACAGTAATAAGGTAACAAACATGCTAGGGGGTGCTATATACAAATCAATACAAATTATTTGAATAAATCACATATTTTGACAGATTTTTCAGCTTTTTATTTAAAGAGGGTCTATTTGAATTTATATAATGCAATTCTAACTGAAAAGAAATAAAAGACCGTTTCCTATGAAGACATTTACTTTTATGAATGTGAAACTTGGCTAATAAAAGAGTGAGATTTATCAAATATACTCATGTGGACTGCGACGATTCTCAATGATCCCAAATAATACATGTGCCCACAAAAGACTAAAATCAACCATAACAGACACAGAAATAAAATTACAAACATCTTGACAAAAAGAAATTATATAAGGACATTTCTAAAATACAGTCTCTTGACAATCGTTGCAAAATATACAATCTATATTAATGTTTTGTTTTTTTTTAATCTAGGAAAAAAAATCATATTTAACTGGGTAGATTTATGGATAAGCTTAAATGACACTTCTAATGTCACTTTATATGTAATTAAATAACGATCAGGAAAAAGCCAAACTTTTTTTCATTCAATATTATCTGCTAATATGTTCCAGTCTGATATATTAAAAACGGCATTGTGACCACATAATTTTAAAAATAAAGATCTAACAGATTAGTTAGTTTTAAAAGGATAGGAGGAGAAACAAATTTTACCAACAGGAGAGTGTATAGGCGTGTAAGCGCAGAAATCGATGTTTAAAGTTATATATGTATAGGTTAATTAATAGGGGAAACCCTCGTAAGTAATGAGGGGAACATAATTGAGTTTGCTATTGTTACACGGAGGTTTTTTTCTGGGAGGGGGGAGAAATGAGCGGCACAGCAGTCTGGTTGTAACCTCCAGAGAAAGCAGCGTTATTCAAAATTCCACCGAAGTGGAAGTCCCTTGTGTTTAATCCACCTCCCGCGAGCCAAAGACCCCGTCCTCCGGGTGAGTTCCATTTTAAATACCCGAGACCATTACCAACAACTTTTTAAGTTTACAGGAGTAAGGGATAGAAGTTGTGTGTTATTTGATTGTGGCTGCTGTTAATATAATGCACATACCCCTGACGGAATAGCACCAAAGACTTTTGCATATTCCCCAGGTGTTACAGGGATAGCATAACAAGATAAAAACTCATCATAAGAAAAAGGAAAGCCGTTAGCATTAAATAACTGATCCACTAATTAATATCATTGGAAAATCAATGTTCTACAAAAAGTGACTTGTATATAATATCCTGATTATTCCATATTCCAATTTTTCACCCCATAACTATTTATGGGGTGAAAAATTGTGCTTGTAAATTAAAGTCCATGCTAAAAAGGCCTGACAGTGAAAGTCTGAAAGTTTAATAGGGATTTTATTGACAATGTAATTACAAGTTTAAAAAAAAAATGAACACGTCCGAATTTAGATAAAATATGAAATGGAATGATATTCCAAATAGAGTTTTCATTTGTCAACAGTTGGTTAGAATAAAATTCCGTACCTCTCAGTTAGTGAGCAAAATTATCTCTTTTATTCGAGCAATCTAGCAAAGCGCTCCCATCACACTCTGGAACCAGGTACCACGAGCACCCAGAGAACCCAGTTGATAAGCCATAATTCTTAGTTCCAGATAGGGACTTCTAAGTCCTGATTGGTCACAAAACACTAACAAACCAAGCTCACACAATTCTCACACACAATTCTCTCGCTCCATTGGTTCACCTTGGCAGCAAAGTAAAATCCACCCATTTTGTTCAATTTACTAGAACATGTCTCAACTGCTAGGCTCCTACTTGAGATATGTATATAGATTTTGATTATATTGACATTGAATCACTGTAAATATTTGGTTGTCCTTTGATTAATGATTGACGTATTGACGTATTGTCATTGAATCATTGTAAATATTTGGTTAACATATGATTAACATGATTAACGTAAGAATTACTTATACATTTGTACTATCGCATAACGTATTGCGTTTGGCCTACTGCAACTACTTTATAACTACAACTTTTTGTGCAATTGAGGTGGTTTTGAATCTCTTCCTGCAGGCGGTTTCTCCCGCCCTTGCTCCACTGTTTGTCTCTCCAAGGTCTGATCTCTCTTCAGGGTCTGCAGAACTAACTGGATGCAGCTATCGTGAAGTGAGGACACACAGTGTTCAAAACAATCTCTTCTTGCCTAAGGCCTAAGATTTAACAGACCCACTATGCCTCCCCTCTTGGGCCTACCAATGTCCAGTTTCCTTTCCACACCAGTTAATTTTGAATATGTTATTTAAAGATGAGAAATCTAACAAATTAATTCCACCATTCTCACAAGTGTTCATAATAAGTCTTTTTAATATAATGAGTCTTATTCTTCTATACAAAATTAAGCAACAGTTTGTCAAATTCTTTACATACATTACTGTCATGATGTAAAGACTATGCAAGATAGGTTAAATGTGAGATACCTTCTACCTTTGAAACTAGTACCCTACCCTTTAATGTCAGGTCCCTCAGTAGCCACTGATTCAGTCTTTTTTTTTTGTTTTTTTGAATAACAGGATCAAAGTTTGAGGAACTTCTTCTATATTTATCTTTAGTGATAGTAACTCCTAAATAAACAATATCTGTTTTAACTGAGATGTTACAAAAAGAAGATTCAGAACAGTCTTTGATAGCCATAAGTTCACATTTAGTCAAATTCAAAGATACTCCAGATGCTTTGGAAAATTCTCATATGACTTCAATCGCTAGAGGAATCTGCTTCTCATCCTGTAAAAAATAGTAGTATAATCAGCTAATTGGGGTATAATTAATTCTCTGCCTAATATTGAGAAGCCTTTTAAAGTACTAGCCTTTATATGGTAAGTAAGAAGTTGACTAACTAACAAAAAAAGGTATGGAGAAACTGGACAATCCTGTCTGATACCTCTAGATATGTCAAATCTTTGGGAGGTACTCCTTACAAGTTTTACAGAGCTGTTATTATTATTATAAAGAGATTTGATAGCTGCCAAAAAGTAATTTCCAAAACCAAATTTCCTCAGTGTATCAAAAATGAACTGATGTTCCATAGAGTAAAAGGCCTTATAGAAATCAACAAAAAGAATAAAACCATTATCATAAAAACTTATGGATAATCTAAAATATCCAAAACCAATCTTATATTATTTGCTATATGTCTATTCTTCATAAAGCCCGACTGTGTTTCCTCAATTATTGAATTTAAACTTAAGCCTTCCAGCTAATATCAATGCCAATATCTTATAGTCATTATTTAATAAAGTGTTTGGATGCCAATTGTCTAAATAAAGTTTATCTTTGTTTGGTTTAGGAATCAGTGTAATCAGGCCTTGTGTTAGAGTTGCCGGGAGACACTGTTTGTTAATGCTTTCTGTGAAAACCACCACTAAAAAAATGAGAAGTTCTTTAGAGAACTGTCAATAAAATTCCCCAGATAAACCATCTGTCCCAGGAGATTTGTTATTTTTTGTATATTTGATTGCCTTTACAACTTCTTCGGAAGTAATGCATTTATCACAGAGTTCCAAATCATCTTTTCCAATGTATTTGACATAAACTGAACTTATAAAGGCTTCGGTAGTTACATTCGAGTAGTTAGAGGTACAATATATAAATTCTTATAGAAATCATAAAAGTGGCTAGAAATTATCTTAAGATCATCTGTTATAATGCCATTCATTTTTAATTTGTTGAGAAAATTATTTTTAAGGCGACAGCATTCTAAATTTAAAAAGTAATGTGAATTCATCTCCCATTGTTCAAGCCATCTCCTTCTTGAGTGAATAATAGTTCCTTCTGCCTTCTGCCTATACAAGTCATCGAGTTTAATTTGTAGCTCAGATAATTCTAATTTGTCCTCCTCTGAAAGGTTATTTAGATGTATTTGGGTTATACCAGTTATTCTTGTCACTAAAGTGAATTCCTCCTGTTTTTTGCTGGCTAAATGGCTGCCAAATTTTATTTAGATATTTCAAGTTTCAAAAGCAATTTTTCGCAAATATATTTTCTTCCTGTGCTTTATTCCAAAAATGAAAGATAAGGTTCTTTAATTTATTTTGTACTTCTTCATATCTTAATAATGAACTATTTAATTTCCAATAGGTATGTTTTGCTAAGTGAGAGATGGTGGATGTTTTAAAATTTATAAAAACTTTATGATCAGTGAGAGGAGTTGCTGAAATACTTACATCAACACAGTCTGTATGAATACATTCAGAAATTAACCAGAAGTCAGTCCTAAACTGACTAGAACCAGATTTATTGCTCCATATAAATGATCTATTTTATGGAAATTTCCTTCTCCATATATCTATGATATTAAGCTTATCCATAAAAGTTTTAAGAGATTTAGCCCTGCTTACACAACTAGGTGGCCATTTATCAAGAGTTCCATCTAAAAGTGTATTGAAGTCCCCACCTAACACTATTAAGGCATTTGGATATTTGACTAACCAGTTTTCCTTATAGCAGAGGTGCCCAACTCCAGTCTTGGAGGGCCAGAGCCCTGCACATTTTTGGGTTTCCCCTCATTTAACACACCTGTTTCAACTCCTTGTGCTAATTACCACACAGCTCTTGAGCTGAATCATATATGGTGTAGGGAAAACAGGGAAAAAACTAAGCTATACAGGGCTCCAGCCCTCCAGGACTGGAGTTGGGCACCCCTGCCTTAAAGTATGTGTGTAAGTAGTTGTAGGTCACGTAAAAAGATCTAAAATTAAACAATTCTGTCCATCTGCATAATACTCCTTTTATTTATTTCATAGAGATGATATGACCACACTTTTGTAAAGTAACCGACTAAAAATAAGTCTTAAGTCTAAACTAACTGACTAGTAAATGTGTCACATGGGGTCTGGGGCAGCCTCTGGAAAGTCCAGTATCTCTTTTGTACAGAAACACGGTGCTTCCTGTATCAAAAGGATTGTTGCTTTTTTTCCCGCGTTAACAAGGTGCTCTAAATTGACATGTGAACGTGCATATTTTGTACGTGTGAACACGAACAGAATGTTAACGCCAAAAAAGCAACACATTTTTACCCTTTCGGCATTCCGTACGGAATGACGTTTTGGGGCTTGATAGTGGTAATCGTGCCGAGATCCGCCATTGCTGTAAAATAGTCCTAAATTCTTGCTTTTAAATTAGTGCATAAATAATTAATGAATGACATATAAATGATAACTCGAGTACAAAATCATCGAGGGCTGTCCGACCCATAATTCAACACATACAAAAAACCCCACACATTTTCGATAGGGCTATGCAGGAGGCAGCTATATCGCAAGACCCAAGTGTCACGTGGAGCCTGGCGTGCTAAACGTAAGCGGTAGGATTGTGGAGTAGGTTTGAAAGTATGATCTTTTAGAATACGTGAAAGCTGATTGTTTTGCTAAGTCTACTGTACCGGTAACTAAATAAATCGCTCGCACGACTCGCAGGAGGAAGACCGCTGCACCCAAACGGGAGATGAGGAACAAGGGAGGAAGTGGCGGAATAGACGGTAGGCTGAAGCAGAGACTGGAGCAGGTGGGGAGTCGCCTTTATAGCGTTGAATTAGCCCGCAATAGAGCCCCGTAGGATCACATCTTTGACGTCTGTCAAGTGTAGAAAGCCAAGTCTAAATATCATATTTGAGCGTATTAATATATCGGGGTTCTTGAATTGATTAGTCGTTCTCACAGGAAATTCCTCTGAACGTAGAGTAGCGCGTACGTAGTATATGAATAAAATTATAGCCGTGTCCTGCGAGATGCAGGGCAGGAGAGTGAGTTCTTTTGATGTGGTTGTCATGCCGTGGAAACTTAATGAAGACGAAGGCGCATTGACATCCTACTTTTGGTGTCTTTCAGTACTTGAGCTCGCAGGGCAGGCAGTACGTGGACTTGGCAGAGGTAGCGGGAGACCTTCAGAAACGCTACAGGTGAGACCCTCGCGTTGTGTATGCTGGCGGTTTGACCGTCGGTAGCAATGTATACTTTATGAAGTATTTTCTTAACATTTTCATACTTATTCATATTTGGTCCATGTGGATTATTTTTGCACTTAGTGTTGAGCTTTTGTGTTCATGGACACATTTCCAGCTGTATGCAAACAGATTAAAATATATATCTGTTTATCAGTTTATCCACTTTTCCATCTATACTGTGTTCTTTGCTAGACTGGATTACGGACGGCGGAATAAAGTAGCTTTCAGGATCCAGGTAGAGAAAGGTGAGTCTGCAAACCCAATAATTTTCTTAATGAGGTTGCTTCCGGCCCCTCATTTATGCATTTGTCTGTATTTTAGTGTATGGCGCTGTCCTTGGCGAGTCGGCTGTGGAGGCTTGGGAGGAAAAGCACTTGGCTAAAAGAGCCAGGAGGAGTCACGACCCCAAGTAAGGTTACACTCTGATGTTAGGTTTTACTTTGCGCTGTTGCCGTCATGTAACACTCTGACTCCCGACTCCACTCAGGGACGGCGAGACAGATGAGGATGATGATGATTCCACCGACAGTGAGATGGATCCTCCAGAGCCCCCAGTAAGAGAGGTTGCATTCATGAAGAGGGGTGAGCCCACATGCCCCGTGCAGCGCCAAGTGACGTGTTGCGAATCCGATTCTGCCTTGCAGTTCTCGGACCATATGAACCGGTCGCTGACAACACTGTACAGGAAGGGGGTGCCAGCCCCCGGCGATAAAGAAGAGAACATCCTGATTGACCTCTGCGAGGAGGATGCCGACAGCCCCCTGGTAAGCCGCACCTTGGTAGCACGCTAAGGTCACATGACCTGCAAGGAGCCCCCCCCCCCCCCCCCATCTGACGCGACAATTGTTTGCTGTCATAGAAGCTGACTGACACGTCGACACTGGAGCCTGAGCAGAAAGAAAAGAAAAGTAAAATGAAAAAAGGGAAAAGGCAGAAAGACAGGGGTCGGCAGGCAGCGGAAAGGGAGCCATTGGACAGAGGAAAGGATGCGAAAGGTACCCAGTGGGGTGTGGCTGGGGAGGATACCGGTTTTGGGGCTCGGGGAGTGGTTCTTTGTGTCATAAATAAAACTTTTTAATTAAATCAGTCCAGTCAAGAACCCCAGAGCTTCAGCACCCCACCGTGACATTTGAGGACATCGGAGCAAACGAAGAAACGCTGAAGGTAAGAAACACAGAAGGTGACCCATTTGAAGTCAAGCAGAGCATGGGGTGGCTGGCTGCCATTTATCTCTCTCCCCCCCCCCCCCCAGGAGGTGTGCAAGCTGCTGATCCACATGCGGCACCCTGAGGTGTACCAGTGTTTGGGCGTGGTGCCCCCCCGTGGCTTCCTGCTGCATGGGCCCCCAGGCTGTGGGAAGACCCTGCTGGCCCACGCGGTGGCCGGGGTGAGTAAGCAGCTTCTCCTGCTCAGCTTCACCGCGCTGTGGCGTAGCAGTTGATGATGTCGCCCCGGCTCCCTTCCCCGCAGGAGACGGGCCTGCCCCTGCTGAAGGTGTCTGCCCCCGAGCTGGTATCCGGTGTGTCCGGCGAGTCCGAGCAGAAGATGCGGGAGCTCTTTGAGCAGGCAGCGGTGAGCAGCTGGGTCCGGGTGAAGGGGCTGGGGCTCAGTGAACAGCTGGGTCGGAGTCAGGGGGCTGGGGCTCAGTGAGAGGTCGGGTCAGGAGATTTGGTAGGTGTGCAGGGAAACAGTTACTGTGAGTTGCACTCAGTGCTCTGTTCCTGTACTGCCTCCAGGTCAGCGCGCCCTGTATCCTGTTCATTGACGAGATCGACTCCATCACTCCTAAAAGGGAGGTGGCCTCCAAGGATATGGAGAGGAGAATTGTGGCCCAGCTGCTCACCTGCATGGATGGTGAGGGGTGGTGAGACGAACTGGGGTGGGGGGGGGCGGGTATTGTCATGCGGATATCTGCCCGGTCCCTAACTCTCACATCCCCAACCCCCTCAGACCTGAACTCCCTGCCAGTGACGACACAGGTCCTGGTCATTGGCGCCACCAACCGGCCAGACTCCCTGGACCCGGCGCTCCGCAGGGCTGGCCGCTTCGACCGAGAGATTTGCCTGGGCATCCCTGACGAAGGCGCCCGCCGCAGGTTCGCTGTGCGCTGTAGAGGGAGGTGTGTGGAGCAACAGTGTGGGTGCCACCATATTGCTTTTCCGCAGAATTCTGGAAACGCTGTGTAGGAAGCTGGCGCTTCCTGAAGGCTTCGACTTCCAGCGGCTGGCCCGGCTCACACCCGGCTTTGTGGGTGCCGACCTCATGGCGCTGTGTCGGGAGGCGGCTGTGCTCGCAGTCAACCGGGCCCTGTTCGAAATGGGTTGCAAAGATGGGGGGGACGGTGTCCTGGGGGCTACAGATGCCACGGGTGCAGGCCGCCCCGACGGAGAGAAGGTCCCGCCCCCTGCAGCAGGAGCAGCTGGGCAGGTGAGATGCCACATGGGAGAGGTGCATGTCTCGCCTTCGTATCTGTAGAGGAAATTACCTCAATTTGCATGTTCCCCCCCCAGGAGGAGCTGGCGGAACTCCTGGCCCTCCTGAAGAGCGACTCGTGCCTGTCAGAGGAACAGCTGGCTGGCCTGCACGTCCTCGCCTCGGATTTTGAGGCATCACTGTCCTGCGTTCAGCCCTCTGCCAAGAGGGAGGGCTTTGCCACCGTACCGGATGTGACATGGGCCGACGTGGGCGCCCTGCAGGACGTCCGGGAGGAGCTCACCATGGCCATTCTGGTAAGCCGCTGCCGCCCAGCTCCCTCTACCGCCTTTTAGTAGGGTTCGGTACCGGTGTGACTGTTCAACCCACTGTGGAGAGGATTGACATTTCCTGGTGTTGCTTTTTTCCCCAGGCCCCAGTTCGTTGCCCCGCCCAGTTCAAGGCCCTGGGGCTCAGTGCTCCCGCTGGCGTCCTGCTGGCAGGCCCCCCTGGGTGTGGGAAGACCCTCCTCGCCAAGGTATTCCCTCACCACTTGGGTATTCAGCCTCCAAAGTGCGATTGCAACATGCAATAGAAAATTTGTGCTTGCTCTCCCAAGTATATATCTGAGACGGTCATATATGTAGTCAGATGACTCTGGTGCAACTGTTTTGGAAGAACTGCATACCATAGTATCCAGGGACTGTTGTTTCCCATCAAAGTTGGCGGGTATGCCTAAACGATGGGTGACACCGGACTTCTATACAACTGCAAAATCTACACAGCAAAAATGCACCAAATAATCAGTTATTAATTAGTAGTGCTTTATTATGTAGCTAAGTAATGTTTCATTAAAAAAAAATTGAGTAATGCTAACTTAAGAATTGGTACTTGTTAGCCTTATCCTAAACATTCTACATAAAAAAACACAATTTATCAAACTCAAAGATGTTGCATGTCTGTTGTTAATTTTTACAGCAAATTTTTTTTTAGTTTTTGTCATAGTCTTTCGACTAAAATGTAATTTAGTTTGTCATAACAAAATTAACACTGGTGGTCATCAGCATACTCAGTCTTTTATGTTGTTTTTAACCAGTGGAAATGCGGGACGGTTCTCAGGTCGTGCCACTTCAGCACCACCTGAGAACCAGCTCCCAGTCAGCACTGGTACCAGCACAGCACTATGGTATCTTAGGAATTTGACTGACTGTAGCAGTTTAGGGCGGGTTTGGGAAGCCCAAGGCCCCAAAGCGGAGTTAGGGAGGAGACGAGTGACGCTCATGGTCCGTAAATCACCATGGGAGCCAAGTGGCTGCTTTTCCGCACCTCTGCAGTGTTTGTGCTGATGCTGCCACAGCTGCCTTCCGAGGTTCAGGTGCACTAGAGGACCAGCTCTAAACGATACCAGGTCTGTTAGGCCAAAAACCTAAAAGTGACTGGTCTTGCAAGGTTTCTCTGGCATTCTACCCGTCCTCTGAAATTGCATTGCCTGCCGCTCCCCCCAGACACACAATTTTTACTCTCGCTGAGCGACACTGATTACGGAATGTGAAACTCTGCTTTCCCAAAGGCGCCTGTGTAGTGCTGCTGTGATTTTACTGCTTTCTAGAATTGCACAAATGTGCACATGTCTTGGCCATGTTACTGCCCCTCCCCTGGAGCCACCACCGATGCCAGTCGTACCTTTCTGATGCACGGTGTTCTGATACGTGGTGTGACCAGAGAGACGTGTCACATGGTGTGAATATGGGTCGGATTCCATACTGATCATGTGACCTTGCTAAACTGCGCCGAGGCTGAGTATGGCGTTAGAGACCTGGTGGGCTGTGCAAGTGAGTCTGGCCCTAACGCCTGTACGCTCCGTTCTTCTTACTCCAGGCTGTGGCTAACGAGTCCGGCCTGAACTTCATCTCCGTCAAAGGGCCTGAGCTGCTGAACATGGTGAGTTTGGGGGCTGTCGGCTCATCACAGTGTCGGAGGAGGGGGGAGAGGCTCTCAGAAGCTGACTGCCGCCCGCTTGCACCTCCTTCTGCCTGCAGTACGTGGGGGAGAGCGAGAGGGCCGTGCGGCAGGTATTCCAGAGAGCACGCAACTCCTCCCCCTGCGTCATCTTCTTCGACGAGATCGACGCGCTCTGTCCCCGGCGCTCTGGGCACGAGGTGATGCCCCCGGCACATCCGTCAGCCGTCAAGTTGCATGCAAATCAGAGCCAGCTAATGATGTCCCATGTGATTTGTAGTCCGGCGCTGGCGTGCGCGTCGTCAACCAGCTGCTTACAGAGATGGACGGCCTGGAGACCCGGAGGCAGGTGTTCATCATGGCTGCCACCAACCGGCCAGGTATGAAGCCCCTCTCCTCCTCTGTCGGTGCTGCAAAGGCAGCCGAGGTTACAGCCCCCCCTCCACCTTCTATTCCATAGACATTATCGACCGCGCTGTGCTGCGACCAGGCCGCCTGGACAAGACGCTTTATGTTGGGCTGCCCCTCCCAGAGGAGCGACACGCCATCCTGCTGACTCTCACCAAGGTGCGGTCTGACTGCTGGGGTCGTGGGGTGGGGGCAGGGTCACAGATACAGGGGTTACAGGCTGAGAGATTGTCTGCATCTCAGGGGGGCACCAGACCACCACTGGAGCCTGACGTGAGCCTGGAGGAGGTCGCCCACAATGGGCGCTGCGACTGCTTCACGTGAGTGTCCTCCACCCCCACCCCCCCACGCCCTGCTGCCTTTATTAAGGAATAAACCTGCTGCCCGCGGTACACCTGAACAAGGCTGCATGCACTTGTCACAGGGGGGCGGATCTGTCGGCGCTGGTGAGGGAGGCATCTGTGAACGCGCTGAGGCGTCACCTGAGCTGCTGTGCATTCTCTGCAGGTAACTGGGGACCCGGGGGCTGCCTGAAGGTGGGGGGGGGGAGTGTTTTTTGTTGTTAGTGGTCATTAAATAAAGGAACCTGGGGGCTCATTTATAAAGGCTTTGTAAAAACGAAATAGCCATGAAACTTTCATACACATTTATAAGAAGATTTTGGGATTTATTAAGGAACAATAAATACTGATTTGTTAAGTACAGAAACATTTTTATTATGTTTGACATTCAGCATTCTTTTTAATGAATGACACTTTATTGCATGGAATCTAAATTAGGTACATACTGAAAAGTCAAACTAACATAGGCACAAACTAGGGCTGTACGATTTATCGATTTCAAATCGAAATCGTGATTTGAAACAACGCGATTGGCAAGTCGCAAAAATCATGATTTAGGATATACATTATACAGCATGTCGGACCCAGGGTTTAAAACTGCTGTGAGAATAGTTTTACAAATTCATGCTGTGCTCCCTGTGTGACAGTCATTCTCACCAATCACGAGCGCCATGCTTCTTGCGTACCAGTCATGCTCACCAATCAGAAGTGGCCCAAGAAGGCGTATAGGCCCACAAATGGCAAACATGTGAAACCCAAGGAAAATGTTACATTCGCGGTGCGGAAAAATACTGATTCCGCTACTGAGCTGTAAGTGAATTGCCTTCCTATTTCATGGTCCGAGATTGTTTCAGAAAGGTCCTATCATCAATAAAACCGGCGAGCTCCTTTTAAACACCAGCTGCAATATACTTCAGCGTATCATACCTAGTTGGTTTTTGTTAATAGGTAATAGCATTAGTATACTGCTAACCCATCAAAACAACAATGAGACAGTCAGTATAATTCTCACAGCAGCGGAGTCGGTGACCTCCAAAAAAGCCGTAAAACCCACAATACAGTCGTGTTTATGTCATATGTTTTTGTGCTTATTAAATTTAAGTGTTTCCAAATATTAATCCCACAACAGTAATAAAATAAAAGTCTTGCTTTAACTTAAATACTAAAAGAATAGATCGCTTTAATCGCTATTACAGTTGGGTATGGGCACGCAGTCTTATTCAGAAAACATACAAAAAGAGACGCATATAATGTTTAATCATTCGTTTTGTATTTGTCCGAGTAACAAAGCATGGGAATGAAAAGCTGCTTCAGTCGAAAACTGCATTTTACTTCTCATTTAAAATAAAATGCAGGGTTGGCAACTTTGGTCAGCTGCTTGGAGTGAGATTTTCTGTTCTCTGTTCTGCACACACATCTACATGTATGTAAGTTTTATTACCTTGTAAATAGTCTGTAGGGTTTGCAAACTGCCATAACGTTTTTGATGCAGCTAATTTTAAGTTCAGAATGGAATATAGATTTGCCGTAAGATTTCTTTCTTTTTTTTGTTTTTCTTCTTTTTGTGTCCCGCCACCACCACCCCTCGTTGGAGGACAACTTTATATTTATTTCCAATTGTGTATAAACTAAAATTTCTCCAGACAAGCCCACATCACCCCATCCCTAATATTGTGAAGTAAGGTGAGAATTGTAACAAGCACAATAACTGATGGCAAGTTGAACAGAATTAAACTGTTTGTATAGATGGATGCAGACGGGCAGACAGATGGACAGGCAAATACAGACGACAGACAGACATTAACAGCCATACACACAGGCAAATCAACGAACGGCTAAACAGACAATTTAGACAGAAAAACATTAAACAGGCAAAGACACACATATAAACAGGCAAGTATATAGTTATATCGCGTGATATTCGAGTACAAAGGTCTATAGAGAAGACTGGTTACTGTTGGGGAGGAAGGCTGATGTATTATTCATCTTTTGAGCTGAAAGTTCTTCTATAAGGATGTGTTCTGACATTAGGTTGATCCAATGCTTTATATGACATGAATTTCTAGATTTCCAGTTTTGAACGACTTTTTTCTTAGCTATAGTTAGAGAGACAAGTACTGGGTGTTTCATTTTCTGTGGAATGCAGATAAGTGGTGTCTCCTAGAAGGCAAAGTGAGGGGGAGAGTGGGGTGCTACAGTCAAAATGGTAGAAAGTGTCTTTATGACCGAAGTCCATAAATGAATGATTGGCTGACAAGTCCAAGTAGCATGCAAATATGTGTTAGTGCTCACCGAGATACAGTGTGGACAGAGGTCTGTGTTGACTAATCCCATTTTAAGCAGTTTACTTTGAGTGATGTGAGTCCTATGTACAGTTTTATATTGTATAAGTTGCAGGTTAGAATTAGAGGTTATGGAAAATATATTTTTGCAGATATTTGTCCAGAAATCTGGGGTTGTAGGGAGCGCCAGGTCATTTTCCCTGTCTTATGTAGTAGGAAGTCAGGGTTGTGCCATATGGGGGTGTCAGGGTGGATTTAGTTATTTTATTGGTTTTCCACCAGGCTGTCATAGTGGTTCGAATAGTAATATATTTAAGAGTCCAGTTTTACTGCCGTTTGTGATAGAAATAGAAAATCTGCAATCGTTGCCGTAAGATTTCTTGCGTGAGAGTGAGTTTGCAACCATGAACACGTACATTTTTTGTTTCACCTGAATTGATTTGTATAGAAAATAACCGTATACAGATGTTAAAATGCGGAAACTTCGATGAAATCACCAATACACGACTTCTATTTATTCAACATTTTATAACGTGCATACTACGTTTAAAAATTTCCAGCTTTACGGTTTCAGGACAGAACAGCCACTCTGTTATGAACATTACGGTTTTTTGAGTGTTATTAGTATTGATAACAGCAGCTAACAACACAATAGCGCAAACAAAATGGCTGCATACACCAAAGTAGTTCTTGCTTGTTCATTGGCGTGGGAAAAGGCGGTTCTAGTGTTGTTAGGAGGGTAATAAGCGTTACCTGCAAGATCGCTATTTTTCTTTTTGCTGCAGTTGTTTTCATTAGGGATGCACCGAAATGAAAATTCTGGGCCGAAAACGAAACCGAAATTTTTGGATGCACTTGGCCGAAAACCGATACCGAAACCGAAAATGGCTTCATTAAAAAACATGTTTAAAATATTTTCTTTTTGTTTGTATTAAAAAAACTACAAATTAATTAAGCAATCAAACTTTTATTGATAATAAATAACAGTAATAAGGCTGTTTAACAATAACAAAACTAAATAAAATTTCTTTCTGTAACAAAATTGTGCAAAAAAAATGCTAGCTGCTTTTTTACTTCAATTTTAAATTACTGTACCAAACAGTGCACAAACAGAAGAAAAATAAATAAATCCAACCTCTTACTGTAAACAACATAACTATACACACTAAATTGATCTGCTTTTAATTTAAGCAAAAGAAGCAGGTTTATCTTTATGAACAAAAGTTTTTCAGTTTTCTGGCTGAAGACACAGTTCCTCTTCTCATGAAGAACATACTGCACTGAATAAAATCACTCAGTCTGTGCTAGCTTTTAGTGCCTTTACGAATTGTGCAAAATATTACCTGCATTAAACGTTTTACTTCAATTTTAAATTACTGTGCAAAACAACATTGCAATAACAGAATAAATAAATCAAACCTTTAACTGTAAACAACATCAAATTAGGCTGCTTTTATTTTAGCAAAAGTGGCAGATTTCTCTTTATGAACAAAAGTTGTTCAGCTTTCTGGCTGGAGAGACGATTTCTGTTCTCATCAAGAACATGAGATGCTGCACTGAATAATCTCTCACTGTCTGTGCTGGTGCTTGGGGCAGATAAGTACTTGCGCGCAGTCCATGCAAGCAAAGGAAAGCGATCTTTTTTCGGGAGGATGGGAGAGGCGTGGCGATAATTTCGGCTTTTATTTTCGGCGCTTTCTTACGTTTCGGCCGAAACCGATAATGCTATTTCGGCCGAAAATTTTCGGCGGCCGAAATTTCGGTGCATCCCTAGTTTTCATTATTACTTTATCTAACTTGACACATCACATCTTTAACTTCTCGTCCTTGCATTAGAATATAGACCTGTTAATACTGATGGTATCTCATATGTTGCGTCATATGTTTTAAAATAACTACACACTGAACATTGAACTGAAGCTTGACATAAAAAATTAAATCGCAAATCAAATCGTAATCGCAATTTTTGTCAGAAAAATCGTGATTCGATATTTTCCCCAAATCGTGCAGCTCTAGCACCAACGTTGTGAACCTACATATACAGTAAGCCATTCATATTTGCCGTTTCGGTTGTTCGGGTGTTGGCTGTGAATGAATAAATGGGAATATTTTGGGAGCTTGCAGAAAGATCGCAGAAACTCTGATGTAAGCCAAAAACAAAACTGAAATTATTTGTATCGCATAAAATCATATAATATTTAAATATTAGTGATGCATAATATTTGCTTGCTTAATTTAGATGATTTGTATAATATATTTAGTCAAGAAATTACAAAGTAATTTGACATGCAAAGTGTACAGAAGAGTACAGTACTGGTTGTTTAGACACTGGTAATTGACTTTTTGTCTTTGCTCAGGCTAGCGTTGAGGTTAGATTTGCCCAGTTATTATTTTCACATTTGTGGGGAACTTCCGTCCCAACCCTCGCAACCAACTACATATGGAAGAGGAACCCCGGTTCAACAGATTTTAAATCCAAATGTTCTTTTTATTTAATTCTGTTTGTGCAGCTGTGGGTGGGTGGAAATGGGACTTTATCATTATACCATTTACTCCTAATAGCGCATATGTATAAATGTTTCTACGATATGGGGGATTTATAATATGTACAACGCGTATCACGGTTATACAAGGTTTCAAAATCTGACTTTATATACCAACATCGAGTTTTTGTACAAACGTTTCCATAAGAGTGTACTTATGGATGTTTTTTTTAAAATTATTATTATAAATGAGCCTTTAGAGTGTGCAGAGAAAGAAAGCTGTTGTGTAAGGTGACTCTCTTAAAATGAAAATGTGTATGTGTGCGTGCACAGAACACTCCTTCACCATCGGGCCCATGGCGGATGTCAGGGTCAGCAGGCAGGACTTTGAAGACGCCTTTAAGAAAGTGCGGCCATCCATCTCCGAAAAGGTGAAAGGGCTTGGGGGGGTGGAGGAATCCCATCCGTGAGGCTCCACAGCAGCCTGGGCAGGATGGAGAGGCCAATGTGAACTGTAATGGGGCTCTGGTGCATGTTTGTGCATTTTGGAAAGTTTTTTGTTTGTTTGTTTTGTCTCCACACAGGACCGGAAAATATACGAGGCCCTGAAGGAGTCTCTGAGTAGATGAAGCAGGGTATGATTTCAGATGGTGCTGGTTTTGTAATAAATGTTTTATTGGACTAAGTTGTCTAGTGGTGCTTCCTGTTTGTTCCGGGGTGTCCTTAATGCCCTAGTCTTGGCATCTCCGCAACCGCACACTTAAGTGCTTTAAACAGAGAAGCTGTCCCAGGAGTACCCATCCACTAGGAGGTGCTATTGAGGCAGCACTGTTGGCCTGCTATTTCCCCCGTGGCCACAGCTGATAAGGTCCCACTCCCTAGAAACTCCATATCCATAGTGACTCAAAACTGGGCTGCAGGGCTGAGAGACCATGGCCTGTCTAAAGTGGCCTTATCCTTTTGGCCCAAATTACCGTATTGGCCCCATTATAAGATCCTCACTTTTTGGCCACTATTTTTCAAAAAGGTGTTTTTGGAATACCAAATCTTACCATTATAAAGAATAATGAATTAACCAGCAACCACATCTTTAAAAGCAACCAAAGATAATCAGATTAACAGCAGACATTCCAAAAAACAAATGTATTATTTGGGGGGTGGGGTTAGATAATGAATATTACAAACTCATCCCTTGAGGCCGGAGAATATTTTTGATTTTCGATAATGATACAACCTCCATTTTAAAATGAATCTTACTATCTTTATTAATAGCCAGGGATGCATTTCATATGACACTCAGGGATATACTCTAACCAAGCAATGCCAGAGTTGGCATCTCTCACATATCTGGTGTGACACGCTTTCAGACTCTTGCGCAAGAAATCTTATGGAAAATCTATATTGCGGTAAGTCAAAACGCTTGTTACAAAATTTCGTATTTGGCGCCATCTATTCCCTTTTTTGTCTAGATTCTGAGTATAAGACGACGCCACCTTCTCATTATTTTCAGGAAAAAACCCCTGTTGTGTGTTCTGGTCGACATTGTATTTATTAGAGGTATTTATTAGGTGCATGGGTGGTGCGGTGGTACACTAGTTAGCGCTCCTGCCTCACAGCAAGAAGCCGTAAATTTAAGTCAGTGGTAAGAAAGGGGATCGCTGGCCAGGATCCCATGTGCCACGTTTCCTTGCGGGTGATCCGGCTCGCAGGATCCTCTTTGCTGGGGACCCAAGTGGCTGGACCAGGCCAAGGGGACGCTCACTTAACACCTGGCTGCGGCAGATGGATGGCCATTTCCAGAGGGTGGGACTGGACCGTGTGTCTGCCTGGGGGTTTGCTGGCCAGGATCCTGAGGAATTTTGCTGTGTGGTGGGTGCGGCAACACGTTGCATCAGTGCATGCTCCCCAACCTGACCTGACCTGGTAAGAAAGGGGAAGGAAGTGGCCGTTGGACCTTTTTGATTGTGGATAGATGATCGTGCATGATGCGGTTTGCAGGCCTGGCCGTCTGGAACACCAGGCACCTTTCTGGTGGGGTTGTGGGCCAGCCCAAGTTTGTTGTTGGGGTTGATGAGGTGCCGTGGGCAAGTTTGTATTTTCAAGAAATGCATGAACATGTGAGACCCATTTTCATGTGTATAGGCTTGGTGGCTCCATAAACATGCTTGGTTCCGCTGTGGTAACAGCTTGCTGGTAGATACAAGCTCTCCAACAAAGGATTTTGCAGACAATCTTGTTGCTTCTTCCTCTATTATTGTCTGTATGAACCGTCTTTCTGAGTTATAACAGTGGATGTGCAAACTAAATTGATGGTACCAGTATCTGCAGTGTTCCACTGGTACATGTATCCCAAAAATTGTTGCATTGTTAAATTTTAAAACTTCATTGAAGTGATTGCTAAGAAGAAATTAGCAGAATATATTTCCCCACAAGTTAGGGGACAACACAGTAGTTAGCACTCTTGCCTTACACTTCTGTGATGGGGTTCGAGTCTCTGCCATGGCTCTCTGTATGTGGATTTTAATGTTCTCCCGGGCTGGCTGGGAGCCCCGATGGGGTGTGAGATAAGCATGTGCGCCTCGTGGTGGTATCACATCTGGAAAGTGAGTCTTTATGCTGTGTTTGAGAAATGGAGGGATGTGCACTGTGCCTGCCTTGTAACTGGAGGCTAGGGCGGCTGTCCTATGGAGCGATTCTTCACATAGAGTGAAGTGCTATGAATTGATGATATATTAGGGACCATAGTCAGGTTAGAATTAGGTGTCAGTCAGTAGCCTTTGGGCTTGGATCAGATATGTGTGAGTCTCATTGCAACTTTTTTTTTTTCTTTATTCTAGTTCCCAATTGTGCAGCCTTTAGTCTGTTTATGTGGAATGTAGTTTTGAGAAAGAGGCCTGAGGAGTTTCCTTCCCTTTGTAAAGCGATATGTACTCTGCAAGCCCTCTCTAGTGGTGACCTGGTGATCATGAATGCTTCTGATGAGTCATCAAAACATAAACTCAGTCGTAGCTTTGTATTGTGTGCTGGACATGCCGTATCAACTGTGTATTTGCAGTCATCTTTGATGTGACTAAGTTCTTCCTGTGTTTATAATGTATTGTCTTGTCATTTCTTGCTATAATAAGTTGCATTTGTCACTATTCACTTGTTGGAAGCTCAGCTCAGCCCAGCCTATTGCCTAGTTTGCTTGTTAGCAGCTGAATGCTTAATATATTGTACTTTGGACAAAAGTGTCTGCTAAATGTTAGAAACAGTGTATCTGTAGTGCTGATTCTGCGAATTTGTCTTGGACAATTCAGACTACATGGCTGTGAGTGAATTTGATCCTGGTAGTTTTTCACCAATGTGAGGTTGTATGTGGCTCAGGGGGTTACAGATGTGGGGCTGTATCCAGAATGTGGTGGGTGTGAATCCAGTGGCTGGTGGAGCACTGTGGGGAAGTGATCACAGTGAATTTGGGGTCTTTCATTTGGCACCACTAACATGCAGTGATTGAAGCAGCATTTGGCTGGTTAAGTGAACTGGCATTTTTGTGATAGGTGGACACTTTCACATTCAGCAGTGTGGGAAGTCATCAGCCTGCCCTGTCTCAGGATTTTTGTCCATTAAGTCACTGGACCTATCATTTGTATTTGTAAATATATTGTATCAGTCCAAGGTTGTTTCAAGCATGTCTGGCTGCACCCTGCAGAAAGGTGCAGTTAGACATCCAGCCTGGCTTACATCACTTTATGAGCCTGTCAATCATGCTGTTTGTTCAAGAAGCACTTTGCAGTGCTTGATTTATGACAAGTATTGCTAGCTAGCTAATAACTTGCCTCCATGAAGTCAGAGACCTATATGAAGCATGCTGTTTGAGCAAGTACAATATTTGATGATGCATAAAGTCTTTATCAAGTTTTAAGTATTGTTCACTTCACAGAGGCTATATTATGAGCAAGTCCTTTACCTACTTATAATTTGGTGGTTAATTGGCTAGACTGTTAGCCAACTAATGTAAACATATGCTATCTAGACATAAGTATTGGGGCACCTGGCCATTAAACCCACAGGAATTTTTATGACATGCCATTCTAAATCCAAAGGCATCAATATGGAGTTGGTCCCCCCTTTGTAACTAACAGCTGCCACTCTTCTGAGAAGGATTCATGCAAGTTTATGGAGTGTCTGGTGGAATTTTTGCCCATTCAGCCAGAGAGGCATTTGTGGGGTTAGGTATTGATGTTGGATGGGAAGGCCTGGCTGTCACTCTCTTCTAATTCATCTCAACTGTGTTTGATGGGGTTGAGATTAGGGCTCTGGGTGGGCAAATCTCCACACCAAACTCACCCAAGTCCATGTCTTTATGGATGTTGCTTTGTGTATTGGTGCAGTCATGCTGGTACAGGAACAAGCCTTCCCCAAACTGTTTCCACAAAGTTGGAAGAATTACCCAAAATATTTTGGTATGCTGTAGCTTTAAGAGTTCCCTTCACTGGAACTAAGGGCCCCAGCCCAAGCCCTTAAAAACAACCCCAAACTGTTATCCCTCTTCCACCAAACTTTACAGCTGGCACAATGCAGTCAGGCAAATAATGTTCTCCTGGCATCTGCCAAAGTGTGGTTTGTCACTCTACAGAACATATTTCCACTCCAGAGTATAGTGGTAGCATGCTTTACATCACTCCATCTAACGCTTGGCATTGTGTTTGATGTGAGGCTTGAATGCAGCTGCTCGACCATGGATGCCCATTCCATGAAGCCCCTGGCACACAGTTTTTGTGCTGGGGTTAATGCCAAAGGATGTTATTGAGTTATTGAGTCAAAAGTGTTGGCAACTTTTACATACTACATGCCTTAGCACTTGGAGATTCTGCTCTGTTACTTTGTGACAGTGGCAGCTGGCCCATAGGGGGCGCTCGGGCGCTGCCCTCCCAGATATGGGGGGGGAATATAAAATATATAAAAATATATATATTTTTTTTTATCAATGTCAGTTTTACTTAATAGTGTGAGCCTACATGCAATCAATTATTTAAATCCTATTTCCACCAACTGACTGAATTTCCACCGACAGATTTCCACCAATCATTTCTCTTCTTGGGCGCTCATCAAAGTGCCCCAGAAGTGCAGCGAAATAGCCAATCGTGTGGTTGCTAGGCGAAAATAATAAAGATTTGGCCTATCAGCATCGCCGAATTAAATCGTTTTGGGGCGCTGGAAATGTCGCCCCCTGCTACAGGAAAAAAAGGGAAAGTTTTGGATTGCTCTCAGGTCAATCAGTCAGAGAGAGATGATGGCGACGACGACAGTAGGGGGCAGCTTCCGCTGAATTCGGTGAGATCGTTATTGAATTACCCTTTTGCGAGAAGGACGATGGTGGAAAAAAATCCACGTTAAGGAGCTGGGACCCGACCAGCCAAAAATAACTAAATTAATTTACTTTATCTGTTAAACTGCTGATTTTGAGAAGGAAATTAAATTATGATTGTGAAATTGTCATTTTCTGACTGTTCATTTGAATGCTTATACTGGACTAGGAAGGGAAATCTATTGATACGTCAGCCCCACCAAGAATTTTTTTCACCAGCCGCCACTGCTTTGTGGCTGAATGTCTGTTGTTCCTAAACACTTCCACTTTGCAATAATACCACTTAATTGACCGTGGCATATCTAGCAGGAAATAAATTTCACAAACTGACTTAT